GGCCCTGGGGGCAGAGGCAGGGTCGCCTTCTGCGTCCTGCACAGTGGACAGAGCGTGGAGGGCCCACCATACCATGGGACCCACGAAATGGTTTCATTTTAATTTCTTTTAAAAGCAAAGAAATTGATTTGACGGTAAACAGCAGCAACAAACCTGATTGTCAATAATCACTTTATAACGGGGCAGTTCTGAAACACAACTTTTAATTTTTCTGTGGATGAAGGGGTCGCGAAAGTCTCGATCCCTCCCTGGGCGAGTGTGAAGACCCTGGCGAGTGTCACCTCTGTGCCCTAAGTTTCCTGGGGGCCCGGTCTGGTCGATTGGCTGGGGCTGCCCGGAGGGCTGAGGCGAGGAGCAGGGGCAGGCTGCAGACAGGTGCAAAATGCTGTGGTCGATGAGCCATGTCCGCCCTGGGCCGGGGGAGCGGGGACAGGCGCTGGGGATGCTCAGCCGCTCCTTGCCGTCCCAGACAAGGGCTTCTAGCTGAGAGCGTGCAGAAGTGATCCCCTCGGGAGGGTCCCCCCCTTGGCCGTGGGCCCTGCTTCCTCGCATGCTCGTCACGCCCCTTCCCCATCCTCCCTCTTATCCATGTGACGCCCAGCAGGCTGCGCCAGTCTGAGCCCCAAGCCCCACCCCGAGCATCCTCGGGGGGCGTTGCTCATTTTCCCAGAGGCCAGATGGATTCCTCTGAGGCCTGTGAGAACCAAGCCTGACTCCATGCACTGGTTCCGCAGCCCCCCGGGGAACCCCCACTCTTGGGGTCTCAGCGTCCTCATCTGTTATATGGAGAGGCCTCTCGCCCTCCGTGACTACAAACATGTGCCCCACCGAATGTTCACAATCACCAGCCGAGATGGCCCTGCGTCCCAGCTCGGGGTCCACCTGGGGACTCTTGCCTGTGGGTGGCATCTGGTGGGCTTTGCTCAAGGACTTCAGACCAGACGCCCCATCTGAAGGTGGCTGTGTCCCGGCAGGTGACATGGTGAGCCCCACAGGCGATGCACTGGCCCCGATGATGGAGGTGACAGTTCCAGCTCTCAGCACAGAACCAGCAGCCCCTGGCCCAGAGAGCCCCACCTCATCACCCAGCCCCGAGCACCTGAGGGGTCTCCCTGCAGCAAGCCAGGCCCAGACCCCAGAGGCCCAGCCCAGGACAGGTGGCAGTAGCATGGTCGGACAGGACAGGAACGGCACCGGGCAGGACACGGAGGAGGGTGTGCACGGCAAGGCCCCGGGCGTGGGGACAGGCCAGTGGACGGCCAGCAGGACTCCCAGGCCAACCCGCAGCTCCCTTCCAGGGGCCACGGGTGGCCCACTGGACTCCCCTGGATGGTTGCTGAGAAGCTCCACTACAGAGCCTCCCGCCCGGCCCACCCCTGCTGAGGGCCCAACAGGACACACCATGTGGCAGGCCAGCCTGCCCACGTGGGGCACACTGCCAGCACCTCTGGAGCCCACGCGGCCACAGGACGCAGACCCTGGACCCTCTGGCTCCCCAGACCTGCCCTTGGCCCCCAGCCCCATGTCTCCGGAGATCCCAGCCTGTGGTGAGTGCCTGGCGTGGGGTGTCCTGGGAACCACGTGGTCTGTGTGAGTTCCGGTGGCAAAAGTTCATACGGTGTTGAGTCCAGACACTTTCGAACGCCCGGGCGGATGTCTCGTCGTGAGGCTGGGCGGGCGGGGTGCAGAGCGGCCCTGTCCCCCGGGGCGGCTGGCTTCGTCTGGTTGGGACAGGAACCTGGTCTCCACGCTTCTCTCCGGCCCTTTCCCCCGCTTCCCGCGCCTCCGGTTTGCCCACAGCTAGGGCAGAAAATCAGGCACCTGGAGGGGACTGTGGGGTGCGTGTGACACATTAAGCTCTGGGGCACACTCCCCAGCAGCGCTGGGTCCCCAACATCTCCCCGTGGTTCTGACCTCCATCGGTTCCACATGACGCTTTACTTGTAGAGGGTTTAGCCATCACCAAGGCCCTGAGTGACAGCTTAGCAGACAGATGACAGCTCTGTGCAGAGGACGGGCTGGCCATGCCAGCTCCCACAGGAAGGTCATGCTGGCATCGTGCAGTGACCTCGCTGAGCTGGCCTGAGCCAGGGGAGGGAGGGTTCTCCATTCTCTCTCCTTGGAACGTTCGACTGACTTTAACCCCGACATTTATCCCCACTTCCCAGTTCCCGCCCCCGTCGGAAAGGTCACCGTCTCCAACGTGACCGGCACCGGTTTCCACGTGGCGTGGGCGGCGGATCTCGCCTTGCGGCCCACTTTCCAGCTCACGCTGACGACCACGCGGAGGCCCGCCGTGCGCTTGCAGACCCGGAACGCGAGTCTGGCGCTCTGGGGCCTGGAGCCTGGCGTCCTGCACCGGGTTGACATAGTGGCCAAAGCGTGCGGGAAGGAAAGTGCCAGCACACGCCTGAGAGTGAGGACAGGTAACGGGCTTCGGAAAGGCTCACAGCCGTCCGTTCCCAAAGCAGGGGACAGGCGCGGGCAGGTTTTCGGGGGCTTAGGGTCTAGAACAGGGAGATTCGTCGTGGGCGACCGGTGTCTGTTTTCGACTCTGTACAAACAGCTGGCTCCCTTCGACCTCAGCTGGCCTGGGGCAGCCAGGACAGAGAGGAGGTGGCTCATCTCAGGGGAAGGTGTCGGGGGACAGGGGGCAAAGAGGCTCTCCAGCCCCAGACTGCCCGCCCCGCCGCGTCCTCGTGGGTCTGTGGCAGGGAGACGCTTGAGGTGCAGGCCTGCTGTGCGTCACCCCCACTGTCCTCGGACCGGGGACTGGTTTTCAGGAAGGGCGATGCAGAGTTGGACACACAGCTGCTGACCTGTGAGCGTCGCCCCGGAGCCCGGGGCCTCAGTGGGAGGGAGGGGAACGGAACTGAGCCAAGCGCGCGTGGACTCTCGGAGGGCGTGGCCGCCGGTTCGCCACCGTTAGGCGCACAAAGCTCCCCGTTTCTCCTCGTTAGCGTTTGTCTTAAATGTGTAACTTACCTGAACAGCCAAGGCGGGGCCCGAGGCCGCAGGTTCGTTCTCAGGCCTCAGGCGGCTGTCCAGGAATCGATAGCGGTGGTCTATAAGTGGGGTGCACACCCCTTGGGAGATGCCTAAGGGCGCAGTCAGAGAAGTTCAGAACTTTTGTTTATATACTTTAAAGCGCTAATTACCCAAGGACTGGAAGATCAAATGATAGTCCGTGTCAGCAAGCGGGAGAAGGGTCGGCCGGGGTGGGCCGGGGTCTGAGCGCTGGTCCCGGGTATTCAGCATCGGGCTGGCCTCTGAAGGTCTCGTCCATGGGAGGGGGAGCTGCCGAGCCTGAGGTGGGCCCACATCTGCTCTCCCCACACACCTGTCCGGCTCCTGACGGCTTTGGACCGGGTCTCACGCTCCAGTTGTCCTGAGTTTGCACACCGGCCC